TAATAATATTAATAATTTATTTGCAAGAATGTATTTATTTATTTATTTATGCATATACAAGAATGTACAAAGGAATGTGAGGATACAAATATGGTAATTACAGTCTTGTAAAGCCACTAGCACGCGCAGCGTTTCGGGCAGACAATGTACAATGGGTTGGTAAGCTTGCATAAGATTGGTATTTTTAAATTCATGCATAGCCACTAACACGCATAGTGTGTCGGCCAGGTCCTTAATCTAACATATCAGGTAAGATAAAAGGGTACATTGTAGCAAGGTTTTTTATATCAATAACTACAACACGTGGGGACCGGGCCGCGGGGACACTAAAAAGCCCCAAAATCATCTCAAGATAACCTCAAGATAACGTTGACAGCGGTGATTATACTGGTAAGGATATATGTCTTAAGTACTAATATTGGGGAAGTGGGTAGTACAAGATACAGTGAGAGTTTGAAGCACAAGGTAGGAAACTATGAGGATGAAATTAGGGACTTTTTGGTTTTACTTTTGAAAATGGCATAGGTTGGACAATTTTTTTTTTATTCATCAAGGAGTAAGTTTTAAGACTGGGCCGTTTTATTTGCATGGAATGTTTGCACAGATTTAGTCTGACTCTGAGGATATTAAAGATATATTTATTTCTGGTGTGGTGATCATGGGTTCTATTACACTTATCAAGGAAACGTCTCAGAACAAGATTTAACATTTAGGAACAAGGTTTTGTACATGTATATAGCACATGAGAATGTGTTGAGTGTATGTTTAACATGTTGAGGGACTTCAACAGAGGGGCTACCTTGAGTGTTGCTACCTCTGTTCAACAGAGGGGGCTACCTTGAGTGTTGCTACCTCTGTTCAACAGAGGGGCTACCTTGAGTGTTGCTACCTCTGTTCAACAGAGGGGCTACCTTGAGTGTTGCTACCTCTGTTCAACAGAGGGGCTACCTACCTACCTACCAGAGGGGCTGTAATCAGTAATCAGTAATCCATGGCAGTAGTCCTAAGAATCCCGGTTAATGTCACGATTTTAACGGTGCGCGCACGGTACGTCTTACGTACGTTAGTAGCTGAATCTTCTCTGAGTGTTGTCTGAAGACAGAATTTAGTATAGTTCTGATAGCAGATTTTTTTCTGAGTGATGATAGGCTTGAGGTAATTTGCAGTGGTTGAACACCATGCACAGATACCGTATGTTAGATAAGGATAGATTAGTGCGTAGTATAATGAGAGGAGAGCAGAGTAGGGAACATAATATCTGATTTTATAAAGTATACCAACCGTTTTTTGAGACTTTTTGGCTATGTGTTGTATGTGGGTGCTGAAGTTCAGTTCAGTATAAATAGAATAGAATATATAACAATAACGTCCAAGTAATGGAGAGGATTCGAACCGGGGTCATATTGAGGTGAAAGTTACTGGAACTCGCGAGGCGACATTTACCTTAAGACGGTGTTGTTAAACTTATTTTTAACTTAATAAAACTACCTTCACCGACAAAGTAATATTAATGAATTATTAAGTATTTAAAATGGATGTCATTTAGAGTGCCAGAAAATTTAAAATTGCCCCTGTTCTGGTCTCTCTAAGATCCAGGTGCTTAATTTATTAATAAATGTTATATTTGCAGATTGATAGGTTTGCGTGACTAATTATGACTTTACGTACGTGTTTGCATTAAACTGGGTACGAATAATACACAGTGTCTGTGGTTGTGGTGAGTCCTAGCAAGCACAACTAGGTGAATACAGGCGCGGAACCTGACGATGAGAAACCGGGAAACCGTCTTCTTTCTGTAATTGGAGTCTATAACTATAATAATTACGACAGTGGCCGAGACAGTAGAAGAAAACGGAGGTCGGGTAAAGAGCACTATATTTACTGGTATACTGTTCTATTTATTTTATTTATGTAATAATTTAAGATATTCTTGTGCTCTTCCCAAATTTTCAGTTTAGGCAAGTCGACAAGACTCGCATCACATGTTTTCTGATTCCATGGATGACTAACCAAGCCGCGGGAGGGAGACATTAGATGAACTTGTGTCTATTTATTTATTTATTTATTTATATACAAGAAGGTACATTGGGTTTGTGAGAATACATAGCATAGTATTTACAATCTTGTAAAGCCACTAATACGCACAGCGTTTCGGGCAGGTCCTTAATCTAACAGATAATTTTAAGTAGGTAAATTCTAGCAGAATTAATAAAATGATAACAAATACATTGCAAGAAAAAAATGAGATGAGAGAGATTAGTAAGTATATTAAAGCACATTGGTATATTAAAGCTCTGATTGATTACATTGACAGCTTGATTGGTAATTTAAACAAGATCTACCTTTTGCTCCAAACTCTGTCAACCTTCAGAATAGAATCGGGTAGCAGCACAGGGCTCTGTGCACCTACGCTTCTTAGAAAAGGATAATATAATTTGCCCGAAACGCATTGCGTAATAGTGGCTTTAGGCATTGTATGTACTAGCTCTATCTATATATCAATCCATTAATGTAACATCACTTGTATGTATGTACCTTACGAGAATAAACATATTTATTTATTTATATATAATGAGGTACAATGAGTTGTGTTACTGAAGGTTTTGGTGATTACACATTCTCACAAAGCATCGTACACGGAGTAAGTCCTTCAGTTACCCCATTACTCCAGAGTCATTAGGAGTAAAGTGTGTTAATCAGTTCTTTAATGTACTATTTAACCAGATAACGGAATGCTATTTTAAAGCCTTGGTATTAAAATAATAACTTAAGTTTAATATCTGTTTAGGACAAAGGTTCACTTGTCATTTGACTAAAAGAGTACTAAAGAAACTTTAATAAGCCTAGATAAGTATCCAGGTGGTTTAACCAACAGGAGATGGACGCTTATTATAACCACTAGGCTCAGTTAATAAATGTATTACCTAATTAGTAGTAAAAATACACTAAGTGTACTTAGTTCTTTAATGAACTAACCTGAGGATGGGCTGTTCAGAAAATGTATTATGATTACTAAAAACTCTTAAGGAAGTATTATGATTACTAAAAACTCTTAAGGAAGTCAAATATATTACACATCTGACTCCATTAAATTTACCAGGAAAAGTTGTCTATAAATACTAATATTTCTTAAAGCCTTTAATTTAGGCCTACCTTGACCAGCCTATGTCCTTCCCATACCCCAGTTCATTGCCCTGGGAATTTGGGCGAGGCTGGCTCCAAGCTCCTGGCCTCCGAATTTCGAGAGACAGGCACTACCTCATAGGTATTCTTGTAGAGGTACCTAGTGGTATCCAGGATATTCTCTCTCCCGATACCCCCCCTCCCTTCACTCCCCCTTCTCCTTATCCTCCACCTCTCCATCCTCGAATAGACATATATTTCCATTTATATTGAAGGGTACCCGGGTGTACCCGGGTCTCTTCTCCCTCTTTCCACTTTTTGCCCTCTCTTCATCCCAAAAAAATCTCTTCTCGTATCCATTTCCTCGCCTTCTCCCCTTTCGTCCTTTCCCTCGCCCCCTACTCTCCTTCTCTCAGGAAATGTATTAATATGCATTTAAACAACTCTTAAGTTTTCTTTTTTTCCTTTATAAATTATATTTTTTTCATCCCCTTCTTCATCTGCCCCTTCTAACACTTCCAGCCCCCTCTACCCCACCCTGCATGCCCTCACCTTCCCCCCCACCCCCCCTCTCGGAACATTTTTTATTAAGACACTAAACCTCAATGTACTCCATCTGGTCACCATTTGGTCCGGGAGACATCTCCCGTCACGCAGGGTGCAGTTGCGCCTCCACAGATCTCCAGTATCATCTATTGATACTGGTAATGGCTCAAAAGGGCCACCACTTACGGGCTATTCATGCCCGTGCCACCTCTTGGGTGGCTTAATCTTCATCATCTTCATCATCATCACCTCAATGTATGGGTCTATCACCGTTCCTTTCGCAGCCCGTTCTCCAAACAGATCCAAAGTCCATTCCTTGCACCCGCCAAACCCCAGCTGTTTATGAATGAAAAACGGTTTACACACGACTCAACTGATGACGTTCGAACACTTCCGGAACAAGTGCTTCACTGACGAATTTTGTTCGAACCACAACGCTGTAAATGCTTCACCCACGTACTACAAATAATCGCCAAGAGAACCTAAATACCTAACCTAACCTTTGCCTATATATATATAAGCACAATATGCTAATATATTATAATATTAATTTATATTTGAGAACATTTCCGTTTTGAATGAACAGCATGTAAAAATTTATGAATGAGTCGGAGGGGTCGACCGCTGGATGTAATGGACTTAGAGTCGAGGACAGGTTGCTTTCCGTCAGGGGGATGGGTGGGGGGGGGGACGTAGAATGGAGGAATTAGAGTGGAGGAGACAGACAGACAGACATTCCCAAGCACCACCAGTACTTCCCCTAGTATAAGGTTTCTAATTTCTAAAGGTTTCTAATTTCTAAAGGTTTCTATTTACCCAAATCATCCGAGTCTATTAGACATGAATCATTGTGAAAGGAATAAGTCACAACAACGACGCTGAATAAAATTTAGCCCAAACTTTAAACGTGAAAATTAAATTAGTTGACGTTACTGTCCATTCTGGACCTTTATCAATTCGAAAATGAGCGAGGATGAGTCCTGGATATATTGAATAGGAGGGGCATTTTGTGTGTTAGCGTGGGTTTGTTAATAGAGAAGACTTTCTTAACAAACATGCGGGGACGAACGCACTAGTGCACGCACACAAACACGTGCACGCACACAAACACGTGCACGCACACAAACACGTGCACGCACACAAACACGTGCACGCACACAAACACGTGCACGCACACAAACACGTGCACGCACACATATACGTGCACACGCACAAAACATATATTATGAGTAATAGGTACCTAAGTGTCCACTGGAACGGCAAAGTTGACAAGACGTATATTTGGACTTTTAAGGATTGAGAATTTAAACCACGAAAAAAAACAATTTAAGTGTAAACAAATACATTTTTATTTGTAAAATACACACATCACAAAATGTTAATTATATGGAGTACGAGAAAAGATAAAACACCGATAACAGAATTATTAACCACCACACATACATTAAAAGCTAATATTGTATTTGAGTGTCTAACAGTGTCTCACAGTTTTTCAGTAGCTTATAAAAATTACAATTTTTTCTGGCTTAGCCAAGTGGTCGTATTTTGATAAGATGTTCAGATGAACAGCGGTGTCAATCATCCCCCTCCGGGCAAATGGGGAGATAAAATGATGAATCAACATTGATTCAGCGTCAGTCAAATATGTTTCCCTGCTGGGATCAATAAAATATTACTAAACGAAGTATAAAACGGGTTTAAAACATTAATATGCATGCATGCACCGGATGAGTGAGCCAGGGACCAGCCACAGCCCACCACCACCACCACACGACCTCCTAGACAGTTGAGAGGCGGGACCAAAGAGCCGGAGCTCAACCCCCTGCAAGCACAATTAGGGGAGTACGTGACTAGATCCAAGTTGAGTTATGCAAGGAAAGAACTGTTCCCCCTAAATCCGGTTTATTAGGTTGTAGTGTCTAGGGAAACTATTAATGTGGGGTTTACACAATTTGTAAACCTGTGTAGCACCCTCACAAAGGGAAATTATTTTGTAACACATCTCGATACATGCATTAAAACACGTTCACTGCATGGCCATCCTTTATATATCCCACTGCAAATGATTCATTTATTTGCATTCTTTATTGGTTGCAAAATTGAATATGGCTTTAGAAATTACATTTATCATGTCTCTGGTAAAGCATCCGCCTTTGACTACAGTAAAATAGATTTAATAAAAATGAAAAACATTAGGTCTTGTATATAAATCCTAATAAACCAGCATCACCACTAAGCCAAGTGACTTGACACAACGGCAATAAACTCTTTCTTCAAGTTCAAGTTCAAGTATGTTTATTGAGATAAAGAAATACATCTCAAAGGGATAGAGTAGCTTAGACTATTTCTACCCCCCTTAACTCTTTCTTCATGTGGGCTTGTATTTCAAATGAAAGTTTTATCTGGCAATTAGGTAAACACGTTTCTATCTCAGACGCTTGAAATATGTGACAATTTAAGAGGTTCCTTGCGGTGTGTCTGAGCGCAGCCTATCTTCAAAAACTTCATCGAAGCCTGCAAATAAATTGCCAAAGGGGGTTGGGCCTGTTGTGCGTTGGTCTGTGGGATAAGTGGCAGGGACGTCAAAGGCTAAAGTCGCCTCTGTTTTTCCAAAATCACCAACGTTATCGCTCGACTCCCTAGGCAAGTTAGTGTAGCGGGCTGCTTCAGATGTGCGTCTGTTGTACGAGCTGCCTTTCAGCAAACTTGCGTCTGTCTTTGTATTGTACGTGTTGAACGGGTCATCAAGAATTTCGTACTGAATCTGGGGTCCTGAGGGCTTGAATTCAGTGGGAGGTGACAGGTAACCTTTGTAATTTATTGCGGGGGCAATGTAGCTTGGATTCGGAGTTTCGTAGTTTGCGTTCGGAGCTTCATATTTCGAATTCTGAGCATTATAGCTTGATGTTGGAGTTTCGTAACCTGGTTTAAGTTCTTCGTAACTGGGCGTCGGAGCTTCGTAACTTGTTGTTTGACCTGCATAAGTTGGCGCTGCAGCCTCGTAACTTTGTGTTTGAGTTCCGTGGAATTGTGCAAAGGTATCGTATGTAGGTGATGGGGCATTGGAATCTGGCGCCGGGATATTTTGGCCGTAAGCTGGGGAGTTTTCTGTGTAGCCATATGTTGGTGTTTTGTAGTCTGAACTGGCCGCCTTGTAGTCTGTATTGGCCGCCTTGTAATCTGATGTGTAATACTGGGCGCTTTGTTCGGGGTTCACCTTTCCATAGCCGCCACCATGATCACCTCCACCACCACCATGATCACCTCCATAACTGCTGCCACCACCGTGACCACCACCATGGTCACCACCGTAGCTGCCACCACCACTACCATGGTCACCACCACTATTGTGGTTACTGCCATATCCTCCACTGTCATGACCGCTGCCATAGCCGCTGCCTCCATGCCCTCCACCATGACCACCCCCACCATGGCCACCACCACCATGACCACCACCATAACCACCCCCACCACTATACCCTACCGTGCCTCCACCACCAAACCCACCAAAGTAGGACTGAGGTTGGTCTTCATACCCCACATGGTACTTGGCTTTCTGCGACTCCTTCACGGGGTCGTCGCCATACTTGACCTTCTTGTTAAACTTGGCATAGCCTTTGGGCTGAAAGTCATAGGGACTGTAGGCCGGCCCTTTATAAGGTGCTGGGTAGTAACTCGGGCCCTTGTGATATGATTGGGCCTTGTACCCGTGTGAGTGCCCACCGTGTTCTCTGGCGTATACGGTGCTTTCACTGGTGCTACTAGACTGCCGGAGTCGTGGAGCAAGAGGCAACACTACTGGAGAGTTCCTCGACGCTTCTGCTGCTCCTCCGACGAAGGTTGCGGCTTCGTTGTTTCCATTATTGTCCACGTTGAGGTCTCCGGGAGCGGCACTTCGAGCCGCGGCCAGTCGGGTGTGCTGAAGAGTAGACGGTGCGACAGGTGGGCCTTGGGGACGCCTGGGTGGGTGAAGAGATGATGGCGCTTTGAACGTTGATGGGGTGTTCGGGGACTCCGGGATAGAATGTGTCGGTTCATCTGCTTCAACTCTCTTTGCGTTGTTTATTTGCGGTTCCCGGTCTGTTTCATCTCGCGATTTCCACTCCGAGTCTGTTCCGTTTGAAGAAGCAGACTCGGCAGAGTCCGGCGCTCCTCGTCGGGAGCGCAAATGAGCGAAACTATTTTTAGTTTGGCAAGAAAGCAAAACTTTTTGCTCCTGGGATGAAAAGAGTTCCCTTTTTTTAGCAGAGTTCATGGCATTGATACATTCCATGACTAATGATATATTATCCCTAGTGACAAAATGGAGACCCACACGATTTTTAGGGGAAGAGTTTGGTTGCACAACAGAATGGTCGTCGAGACTAAGTTCCACTTGCAACACTGCTTCATCAGACGCGCCACTTTCTGTGGAGAGTTTATTGGCCACGAGTGAATTGGCAACAGTTGCCACTAACATGACCGTTATTATTGTGGAAACGTCTGCCATTCTGCAATATAAAGAAACAAAGAATTAATATATATACCATATGATAAATGGTTTTAATAACTATACGCTTACCAGAGGATCCAAGAAAATAGGCAAAACTAAATTATATTTTTGACCCCCGTTTAGTGACCCCCCCCCCTATTAACATGACTATTGAACCATTGAACTACAACGCTAATTGAAAATGCAATTGAACAATCGCCTTGTTATTATTAGCCAACAAGACCTCATGGAGGTACATGGACACATTCTAGTGGAAAACCTGTCACTCTCCGCCTGGTGCGCTTCTGGCAAACTTTCTCCCTCACTGTGATGACTCGCCACAATTAACCATGGTTCAAGCAGCCATATCACACCTCCTTCGGACCACCGGTAAATATCGTCACACTTCTAAGTTCCACATAACAAGGAGGCTCTTAAGCCTGACGCAGACGGGCTCACCATAGCCCGTGCTACATGGAAATTTGAGTTCCGGCTACAGTAGTTAAATCTAAAACAACAACAATAATAATAATCTGACGCAGCTCTACTGAATATAATTTAATATACATTTTGGAGTCATTTTATCCTCGTTCATCTACATATTTCTATGAAATAATTGAAAATTTGTATTTATTAAAATCGTAAATAATTAATCCAGCCCGTCCTAACGATTCGACATGCGTCAAATTTCAGTGGTTAACAGCGTAACTAGGAGACTGGTAACTAAGCAACCACATTAATTTATCGAGGGCGATGCTCATCTGTCTCCCCCCAAACCCTCAATATGATTTTTTTTACTTCATTAAAACAACTTTGACGCTGTGGTTGATAGTGTTTAAATGTAGGTATATAAAGTGTGAGGACAGGGGGAAGGGAACTATCAGGAGAAAGCGTCAAGCCATTACGACTATATAACACTGGGAAGGGGTCAGGATAAGGATTTGGGATGGGACAGGAGAAAGGAATGGTACCCAACCGCTTGGACGGTCGGGGATTGAACGCCGACCTGCATGAAGAAGGGGACAGAAAAGCGGGAGCATAAGCAATTAATGGTTCAATTATGGGGATTTATTTGAGCGTATTCCCCACTGTTTTATCGTTCCTCTGATTGATGAAGATTAAGGCACCCAAGAGGTGGCACGGACATGAATAACCCGTAAGTGGTAGATTTTTTGGAGTGAATGTGATCTTTGGCCGTGAGAGGATATACTGTGTGCACGGGAGACATCTCCCGTCCACGAGGCTAACCATAACCCATGCTTCTTGCCCCGCTCCTGTGCCAGGTAAGTTACGGGCTCACCATAGTCCGTGCTACTTGGAACTTGTTCCGAGTAGCTTAATCTATAACATACTGTGTGCTGTGCTCGCATTTATATCGTCAGTCTTTACTATGTGGCTGCTATCGCGGGGGAGGATACTGCTGGACAGTATTTATGAGGGTCTCCAGCTGCTGGACACCTTTTACGGGCTATTCATGCTCGTGCCACCTTTTGGGTGGTTTAATCTTCATCAATCAATCAATGCTGGACACCTTTTTTTGACCAGAAGAGTGGCAGCGTTGATGGCTTCATGGTGGTTACTGCAAGATTCAGGGATTCTTAAGAGCCTTAATAAGGTCGTTGGTTGCTTCACATTCCAGGAGATAGTGAAGTAATGGTTTTTCTGTGACGTTCCTATGAGAGTTTCTGCTAATATATAGCGAGACCAGTGTGAAATTTTCTTCCAGTTTGAGATGAAAATATTTGCTTTAAATTGGCGTAATTTAGATTGCATTCTTTGTCTTGTAAGACAGTAAACACTATGAACCAGTCATTATGATAAAGATTTAAATATATATCGGCTCGACTTGAGAATGGTCCAGGACGGACCGAAACGTCGTCGACCCTTCCCTTTCTATTGTGTGGTCTGGTCAACATTTAAATGTATAACCCGGTCCCACACAGGAAAGTGACTTGATAAGGCTCCAGGACGGGCTGAGACATCGTTTTTTGGCCTATATTCTGCCACCATAACTAAGATTGCTATCTGCCTACGCTTCCAATCTTCATATATATCATTTGAATATCGTTGGCTAAATGGGTCCTAGACTCGAGGCCACGCAGCCTCCTAAATAGTTAAAGTTGCTTGCAAAGCTTAAATATATCTTTGTTTTCCTATTTTTCAATAACTAAAATCGATTTTTTGTTTACTTTTTATATAGTAGCTTACATTACAAATTGCATTAAAACCTAAGAATATTTATTAAATAGACCCGATAAATTAAAATTAACTAAATGAAGATTAAATAAGTCATTACTTGACTATAAGTAATTTGAAAGCTCCCTTTCTCTCCATGAGAGTTTGTGAGGCAGACACACTAGCGAACAACCCCCCTTCCCCTCCCCTCCGGACCTTAGAAAGCTGTGTTACAGCCCCGCTCCTGTGGCACGTAAGTCCACCACGGGCTCACCTTAGCCCGTGCTACTTGGAACTTTGTGTTCCCAATAACTGAATCTAAAACAATAAACAACTTAGAAAGCTGCGCGTGTAAATAATCACGGTGCCATTCAGGCGAGTCTGGCAACAATGACTAGTAAACACACGAATGCCGTATCAGTGTTCGTTTACGGGTTATATGATTTCATTTGTTTTCATAAGTGAATCGAAAGTTACAAACACTTCTTTAAATGTTTACTTGGTTTCATGGAATGTAATCGACTTGTCTTGGGCTAATATATTAAAGGGTGACATTTGTATTAAGCGTAAGTTAGAAAGTGAAAGTTCGTGTGAAATTGTTCCTCTATCATCATACTATCATGCAAGAGGAGCCACACATCTATGGTTCATCCAATAAAATCAGCAGACTTCTAGATGTTACTACTGCTCGGCTTACACTCGGTTACAAGTATCTCTGGGAATTCTCATTATCTGCCGATGTAGACCTGACCAAATGTAAATTGTGTCAACAAAATTATTCGCATACCTTCCGTCACTATGTGATGGAGTGCGAAAAGATACGTGAATTCAGAGAATTATATAACCAATGTTCCAGCGATGTGTAAATATTTCATTCAAAATGATCTGCTACCAGAAATTTTAGCCAAATATCTCGTTTGCTAACTGTAGGTAGTAACTAAGTGATTGTAACCTATCCACCGCTGCCCACTGGATGGGGGGCGGTGTGCTGGACAAACATATCAATTGTGACACTAGCTCTCCACATATGTCAGTTGCTTAATTTAGAAACTGTACTTGTGGTCGATCTCGAACCCATTGTTGATGTGACGACTTATACTGAATTTTGTAACAAGCTCATCAAGATTGTAACTTGTTTAGCTAAATGAATTGTGGGGTTCAGTCCCTGAGCCCATTATGTGCCTCTGTAACCCTTTCCACTACCGCCCACAAGATGGGTATGGGGTGCATAATAAATGAACTAAACTAGTTGGTTTAGTATGCGGATATTTATTTTGTTAGGTCGTTATGACCAAAATTAACTTGTTCCTTGTACAGCAGCATTTCAGCGCAGTGTAACTACACGGGGGCTTGAAGACTATGAACCAGGTGTCACGCCTCGCTGCCCGCCCCATCACACTTCACCTGCTATTGGAGCTGCAGGGGGAGTGCTCTTAGTCTTTTTTTTCCGGGGAAGTGCTTCCAGTCTTTATCCGGGAGAGTGCTTCCAGTCTTTATCCGGGGGAGTGCTTCCAGTCTTTATCCGGGGGAGTGCTTCCAGTCTTTTTTCCGGGGAAAAGCTTCCAGTCTTTCGGGCTCCCGCTCTGAACATGTCTAGGCGGTACTCTGAGCATTTAAGGGGATAATACTCCGAACATTTCTGAACAGTCGGCACTCTTTGGAGACAAGCTACTGAAAACAACATCCACAATTATTTGTTCCATTGAATTATTTGTCCCTTCGCAGTGATGAAACGGAGCCGAGTGAGTTTGACAACCGGAAAAGTCTGTCTGTTCCAGTAGTTTACTGCTGATGCAGCGTGAACGATAATTATAATCTTAAATGGCTTAATTTATCTTTGAGAAGAAATTAGAAAATGGTGTTAATCTACCGTGCGCTTTCTCGATGACTGACTGGTTAGTTCAACAACCTAAGTATTCTGGTGTCCAGAAACAGCCAGGTACAACATTGTAGAATAAAGTAAGATACCATAACCAAGTTTCAAAACTGTAATGATACATGTACTTTTGTCTTAGAACAGTAAACTTGCGTCATAACGTGTTTAAGGATGAAACTGTTTGGCCAAGAGGTGTGTAAACCTTCTACTTAAGAGTGGTTGTAAATAAGACTCTATGCCTCTCTATAGGGAATCAGGAAATAGTTACTGCAGGGAGGGCTCGAACGTGAGACTTAATAAAGGATTGCTTTGACGCGAAGTTGGTTGCTCGCGTGCTTGCAACAGGTGCGTTGCTCCCAGACTGTTTGTTGGTATAGATTCAGCTACTCGGAACAAGTTCTAAGTAGCACGGGCTATGGTGAGCCCGTAGTGGACTTACCTGGCACAGGAGCGGTGCCGAACCCGTGCTTCCAGACAATTACATATGACGTTCTGGCTAACTTTATGACGTAACCATACCTGAAGGTATAGTTACGTCATAAAGTATTATTTCTCTCTCAATAGTAGCACAAGATTAATAAAGGGTTATATATATATATATATATATATATATATATATATATATATATATATATATATATATATATATATATATATATATAGTGTCAGACCACGAAGGAAGAATTGAAAGTACTTAAGGAAATTCCTGTTTCAATTTTCCTCCGTGGTCTGACATTGTCACATTTTTAGTCACGTGTTTATTTTCGTGATTTACACACACACACACACACACACACACACACACACACACACACACACACACACACACACACACACACACATATATATATATATATATATATATATATATATATATATATATATATATATATAATACTTTAGGCTTGTATTGAGGTCCCCCCCCCCAGGTCGAGCTACTGACCCTCCCCAGGATGCAACCCCACAACAGTTGCCTAACTTCAGGGTACCTATATACTGCAAGGTAAAGAAAGGCATCAGTTGATATATGAAACATGCCCAAACAATTTCTGTCTCGCCCGGGGATCGAACCCCAGGCAGCTTCATATGAGAGTCGAGAATGTAGCCTCATGTTGATCGTTGATTTTTTTGTGATGATCTCATGTATACACAATAAATTGGTAGCAAATAAAATGCCAGAGGAAGATGTATTCCTTTACCACTATCACATCAAGATCGTTTTCCTCACACTGTCGTAACCATCATTTAACAAGTACAGTGTCGTAATAACGAGATGTGTTCGTAATCGTGTTTAATCACAAACAACTAACGTTCCTCTGACGTCTTAGATCTAATTCTCTTACTCATAGATTATTTTTCAAGATGCAGGATTATCTTCGTTAAGTTTCTCGTAATGATAATAAATAACGTTTTGTACTGTAATTGCGTTTTCAATAGTTTATGCAACAGTACATTATGCATCAAAGAGAATATTGTATTATGTTTACACGAATGTTAACCCATATCTCAATGTCTCTTATAACACTTGAAATTGTTCTCGTGGGAAAGAAAATACATGTGAACCCAAACACTTCAACATGCATTTTCTACGATTCAGTCATTGCTTACGACAACATGATAAACTATGATAAATAACAATAGCGCCTAAAAACAAAAGCCCGTGTATAGAAGTCGGAAAGTACACTCCTCATTCTATAAACCTCACTTCCGTCACGTATGAGGACCAAAAGAGGTATCTCTCATCACCTTGCGGGATCACTGGGGTAAAGCTGGACCTTGGTGCAGGCGGGCGGGCGGGCGTGCGTACTGGACGGAGGACGGGCTCGCACTGGTCAACATCTCCCGCAAGCGCTGGTAAAAGTAGTCGCTAGACGAGAGTTGGGTCCACAGGGGAATTCTTTTTTCTCTCTCATCGGTCACTGCAAGTGTTCCCTTTCTCTTCCGTCTGTAAATTGCTTTCACCGATCTATCATCCGCTTCATTGTTTATATTTTAGGGATCCCTGTGTAAATTTGGTGGCTGTTGCATTTCAGTTTCTCGCTAAACGTTCATTCATAGCCATTCTTTCAATGATAAATTGTTGAATATTCAAGTGATTAGATATAAATGTCTCCTTAGCCTTGGTTATATTGACAAAATATATACTAACCAAATTTATTTATTTATTTATTTATTTATTTAGGTAAGGTACATACATACAATAAATATTTACAAGGATTGTTTGACTTATAGGTATAGCTAGTACATACAATGCCTAAAGCCACTATTACGCAAACGCGTTTCGGGCATGATAAACTTAAATGACAAGCTTAACACTAATTGAGCATAATGAGTAGAATGAAAACAAGAAATGAAAACATAGATGAAAAAGCAGCACAAATACAATTATGTCGACAAACAGCGCTCTTTAAAGAAAAAAACAGACATTGGTTGACAATAGAAGGGTAAGGTAGGTTACAGGGAATTTATTAGGTATAGCTTCGCTTTTAACTTAAACTGGTTGAGAGAGGTACAGTCTTTAACATGGTTGGGAAGGTCATTCCACATTCTGGGCCCCTTGATTTGTAGAGCATTTCTAGTTTGATTAAGTCGTACTCTAGGAATATCAAAACTGTATTTATTTCTGGTGTGATGCTCATGGGTTCTGATACAACCTTCTATGAAGCTTTTGAGATCAGGATTGGCATTATAGTTTAGCGTTTTATATATGTATAATACACATGAGATAATGTGCAGTGACTTAATGTCTAACATATTCAGAGATTTAAGTAGGGGTACCGAGTGATGTCTGGGGCCAGAATTGGATATTGTCCTAATAGCAGCTTTGTGTTGAGTAATTAGAGGACGTAAGTGATTTTGGGTAGTAGAGCCCCAAGCACAAATACCATAGTTGAGATATGGATAGATAAGGGAGTAATAGAGAGTCACCAGGGCAGGGCGTGGTACATAATATCTGATCTTAGAAAGAATGCCCACAGTTTTTGAAACTTTTTTTGATATGTTTAGAATGTGTCCCTGGAAATTAAGCTTGTGGTCAATGAGAATGCCAAGGAATTTGCCATCTAATTTGTTACAAATTTGGGTATTGTTTATTTTTTATTTTAAATAATGAAAAAATTAATAATTTTAGAAATAGAAATAATAATTTTAAATAATGTTTATTTTAAATAATGAAAACGCCATGCTCTCGTGTGCTATCCCATTTTCTAGTTGTCTCTCCGCATGCTCTCTCCTCGCGTTCTTTCTCCCCTCGTGAAAGAAAGGGAACCTCTCTTCTCCTCGCATGCTCTGGCAGGTCAGCCCGTCCTCCTAAGGTTTCTCAACGTCAAGATACTGCCGTAAAGTGCCCTTATCCTAACCATGGTTGCCCTGGTTGATCATACCTGATCAACCAGGCTGTGATTCATACGTCAGGCTGCGAGCAGCCGCGTCCAACAGCCTAGTCGATCAGTCCGGCAACCAGGAGGCCTGGTCGACGACCGGGCCGCGGGGACGCTAAGCCCGGAAGCACCTCAAGGTAACCTCAAGGTAACCTACCAGAGGACCCAAAACAGAAAACGGGACAGTATGTTAATTTCGCGAGCCGCCTCCGTTTTCTGGTACGACGATTTTTGGCCTTAGGCAAAGTATACGTCAAAATGTGACGCTCTCTTAGGAGGATGGGTTGCTCACCTCGCCTTCTTTCTCTTCTCCGTTTCTCTCTCCTCACGTGCTCTCTCTTCCCACATGCTCTCTCTCTACGTACCTCTCTCTCTCCTATCTGCAATTTCTTAGAAAATGTAACCCTCTCACTGCCTGCTCTAGACAAATATACAGGCAAATATGTGACTGATGAGCATCATGACAATGGGTAAATATTTTGTATAGGCCTAAGTAACGGTTAGATGAGTGATAGGCGTAGGCTGGGTCGTTGAGGTGTAGTTAGTCATTAGGACATGCCACAACAAGAGGCCAAGCACTTATTAATTGTATGTTGGCACAACTGGGCGGCTTTCACACACACTGCAGCAGTAAGGACTGCTCTTAGAGTTCGTCCTTGAAGTGTTCCTAAAATGTTGTAAGATGTTGATCCGGATATTTTCTTCAAAAGGTCAGATGTAACACAAACAAGAAACAACGATTTCAAGCTTAAATTAAATTAACAAGCCACAATGTTGGCCTGGGACCAGGAGATGCTTTTTTACCCACAGGGTCATTAGCCCATGGAACCGCCTACCCGCCGAAGCCGTAACTACCAAAACTGTGCTGAATTTCAAAATATACCTGGAAAAGATCATCAAGGCAAATAGGGGGGAACCTTCGACAAGCCGCCGGCTTCCTGTCCTCGTCGATACTACTAGGATTAGTGGTCCTCAGGTAAATCAGGAAACAGTTACCGTGAAACTTGCAATGGCAGATATAAAATTAACTCTTGAACAGAGCATGTGAAGCTGTGTCAGGCAAACAAGGTGTTATGCACAATTAACGGCACTTTTACCTCTTGTAACCTCGCTCAACCCCCTTAACCTGGGCATGATAGTATATACCATGACTCGTCACTTGACTAACGAGTCACTGACCTTTCTTCTATGATTAACAGAATATGGCAGGAGGGAGTCTTTTTATGATTAACTCTCGTACCTCCTAATACTAAGCGCATATGCTCGAATCCTCACTACGGCTCCTGTGGCTCTTTTTCAAAGATATATATCATGATGATGTTATTTCTCCGTGTACTAGGCTTGGTATAAAGACAATCACCTTCCGTCTGCTCCCGCCCCATCGCTGATACTTCTTTCTCTGGCAACAATTGGTTTATTTCGACTAAGAAAAGGTCAGCAACACTGCATGGAAACATTTACTATAAAATCGGTCATAGGGGAAGGGTTTCTATTTTCACCGGAATGATGGGCGCCCTATCGTTCTCAACGTCATGAGGCTACCATAAGGTCGCGTCCTTATCATTATACAGGTAACTTTTGCAATAAATAGCATTATCGATATATTCACACATTGTGTAACAAGCATCCTATAGACGACCTGTACGTTATCTTATAACTTACACATGGGAGTTGGTTAACGAGGGATACAATTGTGTTTGGACTGAATGCCCCAGTGGGCAGAGGAGTGTGATTCTTCTTTTTCACTAATGAAAATTTTGGCCATACTCTTGGATCAGTGAACTCCACTTGAACCCAGACTTATCTCAGAGTGGGAACATGATAGCATGTGCAGATGAGATGTGTTCTCATGACCCCACTTGGGATAGGAGGCTCGCGATGACACCTCCCTCATCTCGGTCGCTCAAGGCTTCGTGCACGGGTTCCCTATATATTATGTAATTAGAGCATTGACCCTTGTCATGTAGGGCGCAGACTGGCATACTTTTATTTAGCTGCACAAGACCATGGTGTTACTGGAGCTGACTATGTAGGTGTAGAGGGCATTCCAGCTAGGTTGAGATCCATGGACTATCTGTAGTTTGGTCATCTGGCCGCTAATTGCTGTCTGGGCTTAGCAAGTAGCCCTTCGCCTACTTAAGGATGCAGGAAAGTTGTGGTACTAATCGCTGACGATACAGTGTTGGTGTCGTGAACACAGGTTTAACAGATTTTCCCACTCCTGCTGTGCTAACCCTCAACCAAGCTTCCTTCAGTTTAACTACTGGGCCAATATAATAATAGACGACATCTTCCACACATCCGTAGGTTCTGACCAATAAGTTGCTGGTACTTAAGGCTACACTCAAAACCTTATTTTAAGGTTTTTACATCATATATTTTATGTGCTCTGTTACCTACATAATGGTTCGAGTATTATTAAAACTGATGATAAATCTGATGTTGGTATTTTTTTTTTAACCGTGTGTCCTGGTTTTATCCACTTGGGTTGTCTCTGTGGATGAGGTCGGTGTTTGGGTGGGTGGTGCGACCAAAGGTGGGGGGCTGGAGGCGGCTAAGGAAACAGAAAGTGAGCATGCAGTCAAGAGCAGCTCTCTCAACCCCCTCCCCATTGGGAGGGGGTTGAGAGTGTACACACGTGCGTGTACACACGTGAGACTGTGTACACACGTGAGACTGTGTACACACGTGAGACTGTGTACACACATGACTGTGTGTACACAGTCATGGACCCCCGAGCCACATTCACCACCTCGATGCTGTACCTACGAAGTATATGATACAAACCCCACCACCTCGATGCTTTCCTCATAACACAGCAACTGTAGCCTCAATTGTTGTGAATAATTTGTCAAATCAATCGGGAGCATTTATATATATACATATATATATACACCTATGCATAGTAGTTAACACAATCCCGTCACAACCGAAAGGTTCCAGGTTCGTTACCCGAGCAGAACAGAGACGTTTGGACCACGTCTCTTTATGCCTGATGTCTTTGTTCAATTATAGCAGCAAAGTGAAACGGGGATTTAAACAACTGTTGTCGGGTTGCATACTTGAGATGGCCAATCTTTAGCCTAACTGGCTCTTTGTCCCCAACACTTGGTAACGAAACCATCAACGCTAGTACAGTAGTATATTGTATGTACTAGCTCTGTATATAAATCCATCAACGTTTTGTATCTCATCTTGTATGTATGTACTATTCATGAATAAATATTTGTATTTGTATCAATTTGTGTGTGTGTATATATATATATATATATATATATATATATATATATATATATATATGTCGTACCTAGTAGCCAGAACGCACTTTTTGGCCTACTATGCAAGGCCCGATTTGCCTAATAAGCCAAGTTTTCCTGAATTAATATATTTTCTCTAATTTTTTTCTTATGAAATGATAAAGCTACTCATTTCATTATGTATGAGGTCAATTTTTTTTTATTGGAGTTAAAATTAACGTAGATATATGACCGAACCTAACCAACCCTACCTAACCTAACCTTTCTTTATAAGTTAGGTTAGGTTAGGTAGCCGAAAAAAGTTAGGTTAGGTTAGGTAGGTTAGGTAGTCGAAAAACAATTAATTCATGAAAACTTGGCTTATTAGGCAAATCGGGCCTTGCATAGTAGGCTGAGAAGTGCATTCTGGCTACTAGGTACGACATATATATATATATATATATATATATATATATATATATATATATATATATATATATATATATATATATATATAAAATTATAATAATATATCTACGTATATGTGATGAGCGTGGCCTAACACTAGTGATAGCCTATCTACAAGCGCTTCTCTATATCCTAGCAAATGTATCTCAACTGTAACCTTTCCATCGCCGCTCACTAAATGGGAATACGGGGGTGTATGATAATATAACTGAACAGTTTAACAGCGTCACAACCAGATACATCTTAAAGAATAAGAGCACAGCTAAATATTATATCATTCTAACGGGTACGTGTGTAATTTGTGGGTATACATTAGACTCATGTTGACCCCACTCTTCTCTCATGTTGACCCCACTCTCTCTCATTTGACCCCCAGCCCTCCCTCTCTCGTATTGACCCCTCTCTTATGTTGGGCTTGACTTCCCTCTCTGTGGGGGGGGGGGGGGGGAGGGCTTAAGTTGACCCCCCCCCTCTCTATGAGGCCTGACAGCTGAGTGGACAGCGCTTAGGATTCGTAGTCCTGAGGTTCCGGGTTCGATCTCCGGTGGAGGCGGAACAAATGGGCAGAGTTTCACCCTGATGCTCCTGTTACTTTACTCCTGCTACCATAGGTACCTGGGAGTTAGACAGCTGCTACGGGTTGCTTCCTGGGTGTGTATAACAAAAAGGAGGGTCTGGTCGAGGACCGGGCCTTGGGGATGCTAAGTCCTGAAATTACCTCAAGATAACCCCCCCTCACTCTCATGTTAAACATCCTCTCTTATGTGGAACCTCCTCTCTCATTTTGACCCTCTCTCTTCCATGTTGACTCCACTCTATGTTGACCCCCCCCCCCCCCTCATCATAACCGCCTCTCTCATGTTGACCATCCAATCTCATGTTGACCCTCCAATTTCATGTTGGCCCTCCAATCTCATGTTGGCCCCCCTCTCTATCCTAACCCCCCCCTCTCACATTGAGCCCACTCTTGCATGTTGGCCCCCCCCCCCTCTCTCGGGGGTCGTGTTGACCCCCATCTCTTATGTTGACACCCCCCCCCCCTCTCTCATGTTGACTCTCCTCTCATGCTGATCCTACCTCTCTGACCCCCCTCTCATGTTACCCCCCCACTCTCATGCTGACACCCCCACTCTCATGTTGACCCCCCCTACTCTCATGTTGATCTCCCCCTCACTCTAAACTGAATTTTGTCAGGGTAGTTATAAATTAGAATGCATTAGGCAGTGATGTGGTGGAGGCTGACTCGATACAGTTTCAAATGTATATATGATAGAACCCAATAGGTTCGGGAACCTGTATACCAGTTGATCGAGTCGCGAGGCGGGACCAAAGAGCTGAAGCTCGACCCCCCTTCCCCACAAGCACAACTAGGCAAGTACAGTGTTCACCTTGATTGTATGATTACCCTCTGAATTCTCCTGGTTTATCATAGGTATCATTTACCATTTTTATTGTAGGTATCATGCCTAGACGATTGCTATTTATCGTTTGTTGAAAGATCTTAAGCTCTTTCAGCATTGCCTTCTGACATCTCTTAGCTTTTATTATCTATTTTTCCCCCTTTATTCCTCATTTGTATTCTCAATGGCATTGCTGGGTTCATTGACTAGGTCAGTCATGATTATTCCAAGTTATGCAGTGAAATTGAAAGAGACATTTGCTTTCAGTTTGCTCACTGTTGTACACCTTATTAATGCATCCTAGATGTTTTGACAATAGGCATGGTAGCTCGTATGGCACAACTTGTCACAATGAGCCTTTAACACACCCACTCACTACATCTGCTAATTTAATGTTTCTTACCTTGTAGGATTAATATGTACATTTTAGTGTTTATTATATAAAAATTATTGGTTAATTCCAAGGATCATCCAGTCGAGAGGGTGACACTTCTCTGGACACTGAAGTCGTTGATATTTGATGTATAGTGGTTCGCGAAGACCATACTTGACTCCATTCACTATGTGCCTAATGTTGTCAAGTATGCTGAACTACATTATCTTTAAATCCAAGCACAGCATAGGGCCACACGCTTCCAGCAGATGTCACATCACGCATCAAAGTACTGTACCTCCAATATACTGTACTACACACTCCAATAACTCTAGCCACAATGCTGCTATTATCATACATTTCCTGTTACTAAATAATTAATATGAATAATTTTTCACAAGTTTATTTTCTACAGAAACATGAAACCCCTTTCCTGATGCAACTGTGGTTGTTAACCTCCTGCTGTGATTATAACCAGCATTGTTCCCTTTATGTATGAACCTTGTTCATATTGTAGTGTTTATCAGTCAGGATATACTATAACACTATCATTTCAAAACAATTGCAGTTGTTTATTTCATTATTAAATGATGCTGTGGACAATGTATGCACAGTATGCTCCGAGCTGCAGCTGCTACTTTTTTTTCTTGCATTAAGTACCGAGGCTCCTCACACCCAAGAGTGTACCGAGGCCTATGATTTTATTTTTCCAAACTGGTGTTTGTTTACTGGACCCCTGTGTACTCACGGGACTTTTGAATCTTGTGCTGTACCTAAAAGTGACCCTGGATGTTATGTTCAGTAGAAAGGTTAAATAATATAATTAAAATAAAATAAATGTTACAAGAAATTTTCAGCATATGTAGTAGCCCAATACTCTTAAAAAAAAATTGGAAGGGGAGAGGTATCTTAATTTATTTATTGCTGATTTTAGTGAGAAATTTTAGCAGTACCATATAGTATATATATTCAAAAAGGGGTCTCTAATTTTTAAAACTTCCATATAATCCTTTGACCACTGCAGAGGAAATAAAGTAAAAAGTCTTAATCAACAAAATAAATGTATTGGTCAATCATTCCTTTCATACAAACTTGAATTGACAAAGGTTATTACTCATACCACAAGTACAATCTTTTTGGGGAATACATAAAGAGTCAACACATTACAGTATTTACAGTATGTACAAGACAATGAATCAGGAACATTTTTGCAGTATATTATATAGGACTACCTGTTTCATCTCCAAGATATAACATTGTAAACAAGAATAAATATGAAACGAGAATGGACGGTTCCGCACAAAATGTGACTGAAAAGACCACCATATGACAAATCTGTCAATATCTAATTTATACAAAATTAGATACTGTGAATAATTCACAGTCTGTACAAAAAAAATAAAATAGTGTACATAAGATCAGTACAATAGATTACAACATTAATATTGTCTTGTGTTATGAAATTAAAATGTATTTATGTGTCACCTTTAAAACAAAACCAATTCAAAATGCTTGGATTTTTTTTTTAACCCTCAAAGTGCAGCCATCAAAATTATCATCAAAATGAGAAAAACAAAATAAACATTTATATAATTATCATCTGAAATGTGTTCAAAAGATATTTGTATGCAAAAAAAGTAAAAAGTAATGTCTATCATATACAGTAAATAACTTTGCTGTATATGTTAAACTATGCAAGTGCTACTGTCATGATTATGGAAGACAGAGCTGAAGGACTAAAGACTCCAAAACTGTTTTGTGGCTTTTAATGACTGTTGGGGAGACACCACTGAGCTAGTGGAACCATACGAGCAACACCAATATAATAAAACTATGACATTGTTATAATATAATGACCACATTTCACTACACAATCAACGGGTAACGTCAACCGCATTTTGAGGGTTAAAAGTGAGTATACAGTACCTCAAAATATGACCGCCCCACCCCAAAAAAAAAAGGGGTAAATGGTTTCATGTACAGATGTTCAACTGAATGGTAAGTGTCATTAGTAGTTATCACAGATTATATGTAGTTATTGACTTAAAGAATCCAGCAAAACACATGTAAACTGTTAAATAACAATTATGTCTTCAATGCACCAAGACAACATGACAATATGTTCTTCATATTATATAGACTGTTGTAAAAACATACATCTCTCAATCAATTACAGGTGAATGAGAACTTTTTCAATCTTTGAAGATTGAATGTCCCTATAAATTAAATACATGAAATATAAAAGGTATGTCCTTATATAAAGATATTGAAATTAATGCTATGTATCACAGCAAAGCAACATCATGCAGCTTTCAAACAAAAATTATATTTTTTCTTTTACATTGCATAAATTATTCATAAATTCATAAAATTTAGCTACAATTATATACTCCAAATATCTAATAACATGGAACAGTCAAGTGGGCACGCAACTACTAATCTGCCAAAGTCTTGATATCATAAGAGTGCTAGACAAACGTATCTGGACACTATTTGACCACAGTCACACAATTTTCTTCATCACTAATATAATCCACAAGGAAACTTCCCACCAATAAATAAGTTTCACTATCACTTTAGATGTTATACATTTACAAATATCATTAACACACCTTCTACACACTACCAGATTGTACTGACAGCATATAAGTATCTGAATCATTGAGTACATGCCAACAAAATTAATATACAGTATTTAAAATTGTTTCATATTTATAACAAAACTTGTAAAATTTGATCTAATGAAACTAGACCTGCAACTTAAGTACATGTTGGAAATGCTCTGCACTTTGCTAATTATTCTAAGCTTCCAATTTTTTTATATACAAGTTATCAAACTGTAATATTTATATATATATATACATGCACAATGATCTGTTGGAGCGATAACAGAACATTAGTTGGGCACATTGTATACCACAACGTGTGGAAATTTATGCCCCCCTCCCCTCCCAAAATAAAAATACATAAATATCCTTTAAATGCATAAATTTCAGAACTGTACATTTAAAATATTGGTCAGCTTCAAACCTCAACCCACACATCTTAATATTTAAAAGAAATTTGCACAATAGTCAATTAAAAGTTTTGTCAAGATTACCCATTTTGTTTTCTTTTTAATCTACTTGTTATAAATTGCCTTCATGGATTTATGATTTATATAAAATTCATATTTTAAAAGTAATTTGCAGCTAAAACATTATAGAATTTTACACTGTTGTGAAACTAACGAGCAAATATGTAACATGATTGATCCAATAAAAATCAAGTTGCTTTTTTATTTGCAAATGCATTTAGAGCTAATTTTCATCCCCTGGTGTTACTGTACAAAACTGCTAGCCTTACAAACTTGTAAAATTTTAGCAAATTACAAGAAATATTTTTTTTACAAAAAATATATGCCACATGAGAAAACACTGCATAGCAAGATATACTGTAACTAAGTTAAACTTCATGGTTGGGTTCAAGCATTACATTAAAAGTATAAAATTAAAACCGTTATAAAATATAAATCCTTTGGTTTAGTATCATTTTTGCTTAACCTCGAGCAGTTGTGGATAATTTTCCACAATGTTGAGAAGAATGCCGTCTATGTAAGCCCGTAGATGATGGTTGGCTTCTTGAGCATCCTTCAAGGATTTCTTGAGCTGCAAAGAAAGAGCATTGTACTGCAATTACGAATTTAATGGGCGAGACATGCAATCGGAACTAACCAATCTTCATCTTTTTAACCTTGTTTTGTCTTTCATTGAAAGTTGAATATATTACAATAAATTATATCAGTAGAACTGTTTTAAAATATTACTACAGCATTATTATTATTATACTGTACACAACATTGAATTTTACTAATATACTACTTTATTGCATGATGATCACATAACATAAGACAATGTACCTGGAAACTATCACATGGAGACTATTGCAATCAAGTTAAACGTTAAAACAAAATACTGTACACAATTTCAGTATAGTGATACAACATTTAGACAAAAACAAAACTAGCTAGTGTGCAATGTGATTGTTTCTATGGAAAATGGCACTTTATATTGATCAAGACTCGTCATTACTGCAGTCTATAGTACACAAACATCTAGGTCAAAAAGGTCTAATTATAATTAATTTTACCACGATTCTATTAACTGTCAATAGTAACTAACCTTACATTCTCGACCCGCATTTATTCAAATCCTTTAATATTTAGTCTCTGAATAATTCATTAGCGTGTGATTTTTCCATTTCCTATACGTTCAACGATAAATGATTATTAATTTTTTCTCATTAACATTTTTATTCATACAACAAATTTAACAGATTGTATGACCATAAAACAATTTATGCCAACTAAATTTTAAATAATAGCCGATACCGATGTACTTTACCGATTCAGAATTATAATCATGTTCCAGGTTGATAAAATGTTTTAATTTAATAGCATGCAAGCAAATCACTTCAATTACAGTAGTGGTGAATACTTTCTGTATTTTAAGAGCAAAACCCAGATTGACAAAACCAGCTTCAACAGCTATAAATTACAATTTTTTTAATGAATAGCTTCAAAATACTAGTAATGTATTAGTTATATTGGCAAGTATTTTTATAACAAAGTGAACTAAATTATAAAATTAGGAACTTTATTTTTTAAATATGATATTTACAGCATACAATCAGAGGGTAAGTTTTGGAACTAAATTGTTGTGTTCAACCAAATTCAGAGCCACTTTCCTGGATGTCTAGCTTGAATTTTGCAATAGATTTATCCGAATGAATGAGGGTCGGCTAGTGCCCCCCATACTATTGTGCACTAACCTCTGAACTCCCTGGGTTATTATAATTAAATACTATCACATTTCATGCACAAATTAAATATCTAACATGCATAAATTCAACATGTTAGTAACAAACAAATATCCAAAGAGTTAATGGGTATCAATAAAGATGAAAGTAAAACATAATTCATTATAAATTAAACTTATGCCTATACTGCACCTTAAAAATTTGAGCAAGCAGGTTTCAGCGACATTATACATAGAGCAATAAGGAGACCACAACAATACAATTAATATACTGTATTAATCTTGTCATACACCAATGAGAATAAATTTTTCATTGGACATTTAAGGAAACCTAAAAGTTAAACGGACTGAATTTAACCAAATGTTTTCGTTGGGTTGCTGGTAAATTTAATTTTATCGTGTAAATCTAGATTAGGCAGGCCAGGTCCCCTCTAAGAAAATTACAGAACAGTACTGTACTGCATTTTAGCAAAACAAGCATTAAGTAAAACTTAACAAGGAAAAAATTAAAGAAATTGTTGCACTGTACAGTAAAATACGTCAGTCAAAGAAAGGGGGGGTAAACAACTAAAAAAAAATAAGTAACATTTAAATACAGTCCTCAATGTTAGTTGCCATAAATTAAAATCATCAAGCATTTATAATCCTATAGATAATAGAAGGATTTGAAATTCAGATGCACACTTCTTTAAATGGTCTCTGTAGTAAAGTTGGGTTCATCCTCGACTCGCAATTGGGAATCCCAGGTGAGGCAGAAATGGGTAAACATTTCCTTTCACCTAATGCTGTGTTCACCTAGTGTGCGTATGTACGTACGTTCACACGTGTATGTAATATCTACATATATATATATATATACACACACACACACAGCCAGAGCTCAACCCCCCCACGAGCTCCCAAGGGGCTACTCAGTTTGGAGATGGGACAGAAAAATTAGGAAAGGCAGTGGCATTGCTGTGCTGGTGAAAGAACACCTGAAAGTAAACGAAATAATGATTGCCAATCCACGAGAAGTTGACGTGGTTTTCGATCTGGAAGATCCTGTGTAACGAATTTACTCCATTTCTATAATCAAGCCACAGAGATTTTACAGGAAAGAGATATTTGGATTGACTGCATCTATTTGGACCTAAAATAAGGCTTTCGACAGAGTTCCACACAAGAGGTTGTTCTGGAAACTGGAACATATTGGAGGGATGACATTTAAGTTTTTTTAACATGGATGAAAAATTTTCCGATAGAAAAATGAGGGCAGTAATCAGAGGCAATGTATCGGACTGGAGAAATGACAAGTGGAGTACCACAGGGTTCAGTTATTGCACTGGTAATGTTCATTGTCTACACTGGTAATGTTTATTGTCTACATGAACGATCTACCAGATGGAATACAGAATTATATGAACATGTTTGCTTATGATGCTAAGATAATAGGAAAGATAAGAACTTAGATGATTGTCATGCCCTTCAAGAAGACCTGGACAAAATAAGCATATGAAGCACCACTTGGTAAATGAAATTTAATGTGAATAAATGCCATGTATGTAGAATAGGAGAATATAGACGCCACACAACCTATAAATTATGTGAGAAATCTTTAATGAATTCTGATAAAAAAAGATCTAGGGGTAGTTCTAGACAGAAAACTATCACCTGAGGACCACAAAGAAGATTGTACGAGGAGCCTATGCTACACTTTCTAACTTCAGAATTGCTTTTAAATACATGGATGGTGAAAAAGAAATTGTTCACGACCTTTGTTAGACCAAAGCTGGAATATGCAGTGGTTGTCTGGTGCCCATATCTTAGAAGCACATCAACAACCTGGAAAAGATGCAAAGACATGCCACAAAGTGGCTCCCGGAACTGAAGGACAAGAGCTACGAGGAGAGGTTAGAGGCATTAAATATGCCTAGAAGATAGAAGAAGCGATGTGATAACTATGTACAAAATAATAATGGGAATCTATAAACTGATAGGGAAGAATTCCCGAGACCTGGAACTTCAAGAACAAGAGGTCATAGATTTAAACTTTTGAAACAAAGCTAGCGGAAAAATATATGAAAATTCACTTTCGTAAACAGAGTTGTAGACGGTTGGAACAAGTTAGGTGAGAAGGTGGTGGAGGCCAAAACAGTCAGTAATTTCAAAGCATTATACGACAGAATGCTAGGAAGACAGGACACCATGCACATAGCTCTCATCCTGTAACTACAAAGGTAATTACACACTGCCTGTCGCTGACAAGACAAAATAAAAAGCTTCAAGCTCGACAAGCCACAATATACGAGATAAAACAATGCTTTTCCACCCATAGGGTTATGAACTCATGGAACCGCATACCCGCTGAAGCTGTAAATGCCAGATTACTTTGGTTTAAAATCCAGATAAAAAATTCTCAAACAATGGTGGAGACCTTTGATAAGCTTCTGTCTTCTTGTTCCCTTCAAGGCAGACCAAGAAAATAGTGGCCCTTGGGTAAATTCATGCAAATATAGCTAATGAGTATTCTTTTTTTCCACGAAAGGCAGATGGTAGTGTGATAATACAGGGAACCAATATTCTGATGTCAATGGTCATAAAAAAAAATTGCCATTTGCCACAGCAACTTAATTATACAGCTAACCTTTTCCTTTGCAAATACAGGAACTATATATGCAAAAAATTAACTCCAAGTAATTACAGGCTAATTACAATAGGGCAGAAAACTTAAGGGATTGAAAGAAAACATTCTTGTACATTGAAATGAATGATGAAATTTTGGCACATGACCAATGACTAAATATTTGTACGCAAGTAGGAAAGGTGTGGCAGACATGGCAGCTGCTGGGTATTAAGGGTTGGTGGCACAGTTGGTTGGATTTGTCAATGGCCACAGCTAAACAAATCTTGGTACTGTAGAACTATAAAAGTATTGTACAGTACAGTATGCAGAATATTCAGCATATATATAGTGTAGTGTGTATAATTATAAACAGTACAGTATACAACTTAAATGTGTAACTTCTCTACAGCATATTCAGACACTATATAAATAAAATGTTTATGTCATTACATCTCGCATATTGCAATATGGAACCTAATACCTGTGCACTTCAATGCAAGAAGGAAATAAGGTTCTTACAGATAATACCAAGTTACTAAATGGTTTCTTTTATCAGAATGCAAGCAGTACCAAGAATTATTAAGAGGCTTAATAAGCAACAGTAAACAAATTAGTTCCATACTAAGAAACATGCAGAGTTAAAGAAGCCTTGGCAGAAAATCTGGAAACAAATAGTTTGTAAAAGATGCCATTTTCTAGGATCAACAAATCTGCTAATGAAAGGCAAATGGTTACAAGTTTAAATTAATTGATAAAATATACTGTAAGCCTATAATGCATCCATTATCAAACTACTTGTAATTGTGCCAATTGAGCATGCCAGCGTTCACCACAATTACAATACCTTTTCGACTGTGTCACTGCCATAGAGTGAATCCTAAGAGAAAATAGAAATGTGCTTCAAATCAGTGTGCTGTAAAAGATTCTGCTTCACGAAGTAATAATTAACAGTGATTTTTATGAAAACTTCTTTATATTCTAATTATCCAGAGTAAGGGACGAAGAATCCTACGTATCAAAGAGAACGTAAATCAACAAATACTTTTGACAAAGGCCAAAAAACTTTTCCAGCACAGAATTAAATCTATTTGAGTACCAACCACATTTTCGTTCTAACTAAACAGGTGGAACACGTTTCGAAAGGATTTAAAACTGTTTAATTTAACTTTTCTTCCATTCCCAATATTCACTACATTTGTTTATTTCTTTAAAGCCTTTGCAACACTTAACAAAAGACAGCGGATGCAGACTTTAAACCCTTTTGTCACTGAGCAGTATTAAACATACTGTTTAAGTAAAAATAATGTTTAAAAAAAACATTTATGCAAGACAATTTTACCAGAAGTACTCTCTACTGAAGTCTCTCTACTCTGCCTATTTCAACATCTATTATGTACGTTTTCTGCCTATGTAACATTTACTTATAAAGCTTACAAAGAATAACTATTTTGAGCTATTCATTATAACCAAATATACTGAAGAGGAATGAATAACAAAAACAAAGAGGAATCAGATGAACAAAGAACAATGTCTCCAAGTGTGTTAAACACTAATCAGCACACCAAAAAATGATCAACATTCTATAGTGATTAAAGTTAACACTGGAGTCAATCCATGTAATTACCCAAAGCTACCCAAATCTACTCAAAGCTACCCAAAGCTTCCAAGTATTATGTTAGTAATGAAGAAATATTATATATTTACTCACTATAACATTGGTGCTGATGGTAGAACATGAAAAAACAGATTTTTACTCTGAAATAATAGAAGTTTATAACAAAATTAGACGAAACTAAGTGGCATAGGAAGTGACGATCCAAGCAATGTTGTGGAGCGACTTATCCAAGATATATTGTTGCCTACAGATTATATTAAGTTAGGTTTGGATAGGTTAGATTTGGATAGGTCAGGTTTGGATTTGTTAGGTTTTGTTAGGTACAGAAGGCTGATATGCCAGCAAACACACTCCAAGCAACAATGTGTCTTGAATAAGTCGCTCCACATCATTGTCGCTTGGACCATCGACTTGCTTTGGTGTCACCAGCAGCTTATTTTCGTCTAATTTCATTATGAAATGTTACTTTTTCAGAGTAAAAATATGTTTCCATGTTCTACATTCACCACCACCATTATAATGAATAAATATATCATTTATTCATTACTAACGTAACGTTAGGAAGCATTAGGTAGCTTGTTAGGAAGCTTTGATTAGCTTTTGGGTAATTAGACGGATCCCACTGGAATAACACCGATAAAGTAATAATCCAAATACAATCTTTTCCATCTCCCGAGTTGTCGCTACTCCCGGCACAGTACTTAACACCTTAGGCACCTTGTCTAATGTTCACTCTGGATTACCCTTGTTTGGGAGAACATTCACATGTAAAATCTTTCCAAAATATTTTACTAATTGATCACAATTTTAACTTTTGGGTGTGGTTTAAATTTGTCATTTGTACACACAGGAATCACAATAGCGTGATATATCAAATAAACAAATCAACAAGGGCCGTGATGAGGGTTCAAACTTACACCCGGGATGATCCCAGACGCTGCCTTTGTACAGTACAATAATTATATATAGTATAGATCCCACGACCATGACGCCTGATAGCTGGGGTGGACAGCGCTTTGTATTCGTAGTCGTGAGGTTCCGGGTTCGATCCCCAGTGAAGGTGGAGACAAATGGGCAAAATGTTTCTTTCAAACTGATGCCCCCGTTACCTAGCAGTAAGTAGGTACCTGGGAGTTAGACAGCTGCTACGGGCTGCTTCCCGGGGCGCGTGAAACAAAAAGGAGGCCTGGTCGAGGATCCGGCCGCGGGGACGCTAAGCCCCGAAATTATTTCAAGATAACCATGTCGTGTCGCAGTCGACTGAGGCAGCATCTGGGATCATCCCGGGTGTAAGTTCAAACCCTCATCACAGCCCTTGTGGATTTGTTTTGTTATTTATTTTAAGGGTGAGCATTATGTTCTGTGCTGGGATAGGTAGTCATTCATCACAAGTAACAAATGAATAATTTACTGAAAATACATGCTGATCTGGTGATCACAATGAATGTCAATATTTGCATTGGGGAAAAAAAAAACATGGGAGAATATGGGTTACCTCAGCGCTCACACACACACACACAAGCTGCAAAGTAGAAGGAAGCAAGCAGAAAAAATGCAAAAAAGTAGGAGTAATTTCCACACATTATCAAATTACTATACAATATTTCCATATCAAAATACATTTTCGTGGTTGTATGTAAACCAGTATTTTATCATTTTTTTTTAATCATCACAGTGACAAATTATATACTGTACTACAATTCACTGAGCAAGGAAAAAATAGCTTAATCACCATTTTAATCAACTGAAAATTACTTTAATATATGATGGTTAAACAGCTCACACAAAGCAGCAATACAAAGCAAATAAATGTAAGTAATGCAAAAAAATAATCGTTATTTTATCAGCTTAAAAGACTATTTTTACTAGAAATCTCACTAAAAATTGTCAGTTTAAAATTTAATACAACTTTTATATGCCATAATGAAAATTAGAGAAACTACACATCATATTATACAGTACTTCATAAGCAATAAAGCAAGCTTGATCAACAACATCCCAGTGTGCATTTTTATTTGATTTAATGTTAACCACCATCAGTAGATGAAGTCGTGTCCAATGTTAAAGCAATCAAAAAATGCATACTGGGATATAATTCAATGTATTTCTAGCTCAAATTCCTTATTCATAAATACAAAAATTTATTCACCAGTAATTTTGACATACAATTAACGTTTAACATAATTAATACTTGTACAATAGATGTACAGTACTAGTTCAACTACCATGACAAATGACTTCCTAGGTCGTCTATCTGGTGTAACTGTACTTAACAGGCATTTATGCTTCAGTACTATATACAAGACTCCCTCATGGGTAAAACATTCATTTATTCTTTGCTTGTGTCCCCATCTTAATTTCACACTTTAGGTACACAATGTGCATCCCTGTATCCAGACACTTAAAATCTCTGTAAACAAGAGGAAGGTGGCAACTCTCAATTGCCTGTATGCTGACGAGAAGCTTCATTAAAATAGTGCTCGAGTCTGGGAAAAAAGTCTGGATAAACCAGGACACAAACACACCACAACCGCACATTTCTATTACTATGCACACATGCATGACCACCATAAGGCAGAGGAAAGCGTGGCGTGATTCCCAATTCAATGATCAACAATAGCTGCATAACAATGATAATTCATGCAGTTAAGTATCACCAGGATTTTTATATTTTTAAATACAGAGGCACAAATACAATAATAATATATGAAAAGTGAAAATTAAAGAATGTGTAAATATCATTGTATTAGGATTAGATCAATTTTTATTTAAAATGTTAAACAAATATTTATCTAAAATTTTCATTACTTTTGGCAGTAGGTGGGGGAAGGGGAAGGAAAAACACTTTTGGAGTTTTCTTTGCATATGTTTCAAGTATCAATTTGAACGTGTAAATACTCCATGCATTATTTGTTGTAAAAAAAATTATTAGTAAAACAAAATCGACCATTTACCCAAAAAGATAGGATTAAACCCCGAGTTGTCCTTTCTCAGCGATTCGGGGCAATATTGATCTTTAAACGAAGACTTATTATGTATACAGTATGTATAGCATCTTTCACCAGCCATTAAATGTGATGAAATTGTGGGGAAAGTTCATGATGAACTTCAGTAATTGTTCTTCAAATTTGTATTAATACCACTGATTTATGTTTCGAGTAAATTAGTTTCCATTTGTTAAGACTTTCGAAGCATTTGTATTACAGTATCTGTATTAAGACCTTTTTATTAATCACAAGAAGAAATTCATACAAGATTAAACAAATTTACTCTGATATATAAATATCGATTATGAAAAGCACTGCACTTTAAAACAGTTTTCTATCAACATCACAATTGCATCCAATCTGTCCAGGTAGCCTTGCATTTTGGACACTTTATATTAACAATTTTCAGTTACATTTCTAAATTATATTTTCACTGGCTAAGAAGAATGTTCTCATATAAAGGAAAATTCCCCTCTACCAAATATGTTGATGCATTTCAGAGTTTAGTTTAGTTCATTTATTATGCACCCCATATTTATCTTGTGGGCAGTAGTGGAAAGGGTTACAGAGGCACATAATGGGCTCAGGGACTGAACCCCATTTCAGAGGAAAGCTGTTTGTTTAATCAGGTCACGTGACCTGATCTTTAGGCATTAGAATCATTGGCTTTCTATTGAAAAGTTGTTTCCTCTACCATCTTCTGTTACTAATTTAATTGCTTTTACTCAAGAACTTGCAAACTGTGAACCTTTTATAACTAAGGGAGTCGGTCGGCTGAGCGGACAGCACGCTGGACTTGTGATCCTGTGGTCCTGGGTTCGATCCCAGGTGCCGGCGAGAAACAATGGGCAGAGTTTCTTTCACCCTATTCCCTGTTACCTAGCAGTAAAATAGGTACCTGGGTGTTAGTCAGCTGTCATGGGCTGCTTCCTGGGGGTGGAGGCCTGGTTGAGGACCGGGCCGCGGGACACTAAAAAGCCCCGAAATCATCAAGATAACCTCAAGAAGGTCTCTTAATACAGTACTTGCACAGCACCCTCTGTTTCCGTGGCCATCAGCAAATTAAATAAATTTAATGCGCTCTTCCATTCTATAGCCATCTTGATGGTTGGATTTTACCAGACACTTTTGATATTCTATCTTTCAAAAACCATCTCTGGAACTTTGTTAACCTCTGATTATTTTTTTTCTTTTTTTGTATGCATTTTGAACAAGCAATTTTTACTTTTGTGGTACTGTAATCAAAATATATTAAACAAAATAGTAAAGAAACAGCATGATGGTTTGCTTTAAAGAATATTGCCACAAAGTATGAAAGCAGCCACAACAAGCAAAACTGAGAAACAAGCTCTTAATTTTGTAGTAAAGTACTGTACTGCAACATCAAAATTCAGTACTGTACTGAACAAAAATCTAAGTACAGTATAGTACTGTACTACAGTGTATTATAAACTAATATTGCCTGAATAACACTATTGAACTAAGCATGGCAGACCACCAGTTATGGAGCATCATGAATATAGTCATAAGAAGGAAGTATTGGTGAAAGCCTAAGCCCTAACACTATGAATTCAACTAGAAAAATTAAATGTTTGGAGTCCCGAGACAATTGGGTTGCTTAAGCAAATGTGCATGCATAGCTCATTATGGAAGGAATTTAGGAAATGCAAAGTATGGTACCGAAGAAAACAAAGCTGTACATTTGCACAAAAAGGGCAACTGCATGCACAGACATATCTAAACATATCTTTTCTTCTCCTCCTCCTCCTCCTCCCCCTCCTCTCAGGGCTCTTGCAAAAACAGCTTAACTGTTGACAATTTCAAGAGTTTTTCTACTTTCAAAGCTTGGCCAGTGGCCAACCTTTCCTGATGATTGCCTGGTATGCAAGGCAGAGTATCATCTGAGCATGAAGACCCATACAACCAAGCTGATCTAGCAACTCCAGCATAAACTTGTAAAAATCCCTCTTGAAATATTCCACTACCATTCCAGCCGTATCTCCTATTTATGGAGCAGGAGATTGACCAAGTTGTGGTTCTCTATGTTTACACTGTCCTCTAATTGTACTGATGGCAAATCAACTTCTCAATTGATTAATTTTACACTTGACTCTTATTCTTACATGTTATAATTTTATTATGAAAGCTTGAAACCTGATCACACACACACACACACACACACACACACACACACACACACACACACACACACATGGGAAAATGTTGGCTCTCTCTTATCTTCATTCCAAAGAGTACCGTTTAAATACTTCGGGTAGATCCCAATAGTTTGGGCGATTCATTGATTCTATGTGGGAATGTGGGAAATAGAAAATTCTACACAATATTTTTCAGCTCTAATATCTTGCCTGCCTTGAACCTCTTACAGAGGTACTGAGCTTTGCACCGAACTCGTACTAGATTTTAAACAATTACCTTGAAAATACCTGTACAGTCAAGTTATGGAAACATGTGGCAAATTGCGTATTGGGTGGCACTGTTAATGCCATTTATTTATGAAAAATCATTCTTAAATCAAATGTCTTTAGCAGAAGCAAGACACCAGTTTCACAAATTCATATACAGTACATACTACTAAATTTTGCATCATCCACAGCAACAATTGTGGCTATGTTCTCACTGTTAAAACAGACCCACTAAATATTGTAGGGACAAATTTACAACAATAATTTCCAACTACAAATTAAGTACCTGTAGTTATAACCTACTGTATTTGATTACTAAAATTGGGAGTATGTTTCCAGTCATTTGTCAATCTTCAAGTCACTAGACTGCTATTATTTACCAAAACTCACTGTGTTGATTACTCACCTCTTCACTAGTCATTGCCTCAAACTCTGCAGCCAATGAGTTGTTATTCGTTGCAGTTACAAGTGTACGTCCCTCTTCCAAACGTGATGTCAACAACTGTGCTTGAAGATCCTCAACTTGCTCTACCAGATCTGGATATCGAGTACACAATACATGAACCACATACTTCAAAACAGCGTAAGCAATAATTGAAACGAGGATTAAATAGTATTTATTTACTAGATTAGTAAGAACTCTTGTATTTATATACAAGAGTTCTTACATTCTTGTACAGCCACTAACACACACAGCGTTTCAGGCATGTCCTTAGTCCCATGTTCCTCGGAATACAACCCCACCAAATTGTTTAACAACCAGGTATCCATTTTACTGTTGGGTTAAACAGAGGCTACAGTTAAGGATTTGTGCCCAGTAAACCCTCCCCGCCAGGATACGAACCCAGGACAAAGAGCTTACGAAATGCCAGACAAGTGTCTTGCCACTACGACACGAGGACTGAGAAATTAATTTGAGACAATCCTGGGAAAATTTAAATCCATTCACACCACATATCCGCAGCAGTATTATAGCTGCAACTTTGGGATAAATTGCCAAAAGTTATACCAACTTCTGACAACTAAAATTTACCCCACAAATAATTTGAGAATTTGCCAAACATTTACCAAATCTGTATCATACTGTATACAGTATACCTTAACTTGACATTATTGCTTAACTGTACAGTATTAGTAATAATATATAACCCCCACTACTTTAGTCCACAGCCTAACTTTCTAGAAGACCAAGTGATAAACATCTCTTAATAATTAGTTTATTATGAAATCAAACGAGCATTATCAACAAAGAACATTACTGTTTCTTACTCAAAAAGTTCCGAAATGATGAAACTTACTTTTATTCTCGTCTCTAAGTTGCCTAATAGTAGCCTGTAGCTCTGCAGACTGTGCAGTTTGAGGGTCTATACTTGGTGAGCGCTTCCTAGCAGTTTCTTCTGCCGTTCGAAGCCGCTCTATTTCACATCGCAGTTCTTCTATTACCTATTAAAGAAGAAATTATTTTCTTGCAGCATAATGAAAATAAGGATAACTTTAGGTTACAGCACAGTGTTACAGTATATGGGGGAAAAAATTCACTATCAACAAATGATTCACAAATAAAAAATGGTTTACTGGTTAGGTGAGGGGAACAAGAGAACACTCATGAGACAATTTAACCTAATTACTGTACATAGGAGAACTGACGAACTAAAAACTACTACAGTAGTCCCAAACTGAAAACTTCTTTTGCCAAAATAATAACACTTTAGGACAAATGTCCTGTTTACATTTTTTTATCCTAAATGGAATAGTTGAAGCTTTTGTATTATAGATCATTGTCTTATTGCAATCCATTCTCAAAGGGAATGAGGAATATTTATGGATTCCTTTCATTGGTGGTATAGCATAGTTAATATCATTAGACTAGACTGATATAATACAGTACTGAATAATAAATAGTAAATGCAGATGATGAGTCAATATCGTATCTGATTACATACAGATACGTACGCTATAAGATGACTAAACCACACAAAAGAAGACGAGATGACGTTTTGATCCATCCTGAACCTTAAGTCTATGTGATGGGAGCAAGGGAGGCACGGGCATTAAGGAAAGTAAGAGAGAGGCGAGGAGCAGGTAAGAGCAAGGTCAAAAGTAAGAAAAAAGAAGAAAGGTGCAGATGGGATGCGTGTAATAATGGAGCAGGATTTTTTTTTTTTTACATAGTAAGAAGGGTGAATTTTTACAGAGTACTGTAGTTTCCTTAGCCTGTTTTATGCAAGAACCTGTAGAAAACTATGCATAACATATTTTACAGCAACTACAAGAAACAAATAAATAAAAATAATGTAATAATAAAAATAGAAAACTTTGCAGCAATATACAGTATTCTCATTACCTGTCCACTTCTGTCTTTCTCCATTTTCCTTTCTTCTTTCTCTCTCCTATTTAGTTCCATTAACTTGGCATTATCCTGTTGCAGAGTAGAAGCTGAAAACTCTGCCTCGGAAACCCGATCCTCAAGGGATTCCTTCTCCTTCTGTAGCTTGTCTGCCTGTGCCTTCAATCGCTTACACTCGTCATCTATTGTATTCTTTTCTTTTTCCAAGCTGGATAACCTGTAATATTAAAAAATATATCTAATAAGGCAAGACAGGTGATACACATACAATATGGAACTTATTATAATGTGCTACCTCATTAACTCTAGATACTCTGGTATTTACCCAAGAACTGAATAAATTACATATTTAATACATTCCTAAAAAAAGGCATTTTATGAGAAGCCAATACACAGTATATTCACAACTTTAAAAGATGTGCACGCACAGAATTCACAATACTGTAGTAATTTTCCTACACACTTGTGATTGGAAAGTAATAAATTATATATTTATATAGTACTTATACTGTATATACTTTATATAAATAATGAGCATAAATTGGCAATTGGGTTGAAAGATTAGTGATCTCCAAATATTAAACTGTACAATGTACTGAACATTAAAATATGTAAATTAAATGTGTTGTGTAGGTAAATAAGTAGTTTTTAAACACAATGGTTCCACACTGCTATTTATTGTACTACTGTACAGACTATGAAGAAAACCTACTCATTTGCTAGACCCAGCAGCATGCAGTGCTTCAAAAACAATGATCTGGTAGGTACATGAAAAATAATGATACTTTTAGATATACAGTACAGTAAATCAACTCACTTAATAGTATAATTTTCTATAGTGAGTTGCTTTTCTCTTTCAATTCGGGTTATGAGTTCTCTGTTCCTCCGCTGCTCTTCCGAGTGTCTCTCTCCGTGTCGTTGCTCCGTCTCACGCAGCTGCTCCTCTAGCATCACAACTCTGTACATGGCACATTTTTTGTGGTTAATCCATAATAATATCCAAGGATGAATGTTTACTAAAATAAATATATATTTTTGCAGCTTTTTGTATACTGTACTGTATTGTACCAGGCAGGTTTCTACATAACCATGTTCATCATTCCTTTTTTCTCCTACAAACAAGTCTGCTTTACTATTCAACAATTACAATTTTCCCTAAATAGTTATTCCTCCATTTCGTTATTATTCTATTAACAACGTTATATTTCCTTTGCAATACCACACAAACTTTACACACAGTATTAAAATAATTATTTTTTTTTTGTAAAATACTAATTTCAGTACTGAACCATACCTGTATATTATGGAATGTACTGTATACAAGTAACAAAATTGCAAATATAGTACAGTATATAAAATAAACGCTACACCATCATACTGAAAAATAAATCGGGATATTTCTTTAATATCAGCACAATTGCTTTTATATAATTTGTTTACTCGCACTTTTTTTCTTTTCTACTGTACTGTACTTTCCATCTAGTATATGCTTGCTTAAGCAACTTTTGTTGTCACACATTTTTCACTTCCTGCATTTAATCAGATGCATATTTCATATCTTGTATATAGAATACCAGCCAAAACAATACAGTACAGTACTGTAGTTAATAAATGGGATTCAAAAGAAAGTGATGTAGTGGAGGCTGACTCCATACTCAGTTTCAAATGTAGATATGACAGCTCAGGAACCAGTACACGAGTCGATTAATACAGTGGTACCTCGGAATACGAGTGTCCCTGTATACGAGTTTTTCGGAATACGAGCAGGATTTGCTCGGAAAATTTGCCTCGGAACACAAGTTTGTTGATACATGTACAGGCCGACTAGCGCGTGATGGCACGGCGATCGTGCCTCAGTTTACCAGTGTCTCGCGCCCAGTGACTATCCCGCCTGAATTCTTCACAAGGATTTACAGTTTTTTGGCCATTTGGGCATAAAAGTTGTTATTATATATCTCGCCATGGGTCTCAAGAAAGCCATTGGTAAGGTTCAACCTAAGAAAATAGCTGTGAGTAGAGGCAGTAGATGATGTCCCTTCTTGATTTAAGAAAATGTGTGAAGTATGGGAAGAACTGCAAAGTTTTGTTGAAAAAACTGTCCCAAATAAAGCTGTAGCCAGCCGTTGCATTGACCTTTTAAATGACAATGTGATGTCTTACTACAGACAAGTGTTAAAATGTAGGGAAAAACAAGTGTCTTTAGACAGATTCTTAGTAAGACAAGCAAGTCCTAGTGGTATGCAGGCAAAATGTGCCAGAGTGTGCACACCAGTGAAGTCCTCACTGCCTGATGTTATAATAGAAGGGGACTCCCCTTCCAAAGAATAACACCTCTCCTCCTCCTCCTCCTCACCATCTTCCATACGCCAACAGCAGTCATCAGCAAGGGTAAGTAATAACTTGAACATAGTTTTATAGGTTTATTTAGATGAATTAAGTATAAAATTTAGTATGAAGTGAGGTTTTTTGGTAGTCGGGAATGGATTAATTCATTTCCCATTACAGTATTTCTTATGGGGAAATTAGTTTCGGATTACAAGTTTTCAGAATACGAGCCGTCTCCAGGAACGGATTAAACTCTTAAACCGAGGTACCACTGTAATTGAAAGGCGGGATGAAAGAGCCAAAGCTTAACACACACGAAAGTTTTCTTTTGCAGAGTGGTAGATGGTTGGAACAAGTTAAGTGAGAAGGTGGTGGAGGCCAAAACCATCAGTAGTTTGAAAGTGTTATAGGCGTTATTTGACAGTATTGGGAAGACGGGACACATGAGCATAGCTATCATCCCGTAACTTCACTTACACACAGTTTGCCTGTCTCTGACAAAAAATTAATCACAAAAGCAATGAGAAATGTAATTAATAATTGGGTTCAAAACTACATACCTTTCTTGGTAGGCTGCATTGTCCTGTTTGACTCTGGAGAACCTGTCATCAGAGTTCACCTGGTTCTCCGCTAAAACTCCTACTTGCTGCTGCAACATTTGTACCTGCAAGAGAATAAGATTTTTCCATTTATTTCGGCTATATGTATTTAAAGAATATACGTGATGATGAAATCATTAAAAAAGTTGATGTAGTTTACCTGAAAAAATAATGTTCTAAAAATAAGACACTGATGTAGTTCACATAGTGAGTAAATAAGTTTAGGTTAGGCGTAAATTCCTCAGTTTAGAAATTGTGGTTCTGTTCTTTAACAAATCTATAAAATCTAACTTTTGTGTCTGTCCGGAATAGAACGGAGTCTTGTTATTAGCCTCGCCAAACTTTTACACATAAAACATTTGGGTATCTAACATGGGCTGACCCCAGCTGGCCTAAGTTCCATATTTAAGAAAAATTGGCATCTAATGGACACCCCCTCCCTACAATTTTCAATGTCTGAAATAAAATATGAGGTTGTTAAAACTATGGATTTTGATTCTTACTCCAGTGGTTTACCCAAGAGAAATGAGAGGCGATGGAGAGAGGGGTGGGGAGATGGAAGGATAGGGGATGTTGGGGAAAGCAGAAAGAGGGAAATTGAAAGAGGGAGGAGACCCCCCCAGGTGCAGCCTGATACCCCCATCTAGTTGTGGTATAAAAGACAATTTACACACAGTATATACATTAAACTGGGTAACCAGTTCAAGACTAATTTCCTTAGGTAAATGAATTTTGCAGTTTTGCCTTGATTTATAAAAGGACATTTGAAGATTAGTGTCTTCAAACAATGCTTTGTAAAGTTGAAAATATAACACATTAGGATGCAATAACATGGCAAAATTGATGCCCTTGCAAATGCAACAAAATTAATGATGTAACCCATTCTATTTCATGTTGGCCTCCAAAAGTGAAATCTACATTAGCTATTGCATTATACCACCATTCCAAGAAAAGCTACACTAACATATGGGCCATCCAATAATATAAGTACCTGTCAAAACCTAGATGTTACTCCTGCACAGGTTAGGCTTGGTTGCAACTATCTCTGCGAGTTTCATTACCTGACAATTACCTTGCAAAAAGTAAACTGTCAACAAGGTCATTCGGATATCCTGCATCATTATGAGATGAAATGTTTTTAGAAATCTCAAATGTTCATTCAAAATGATGTACAGTACTACAAAAAAATCAAACTATCTCTGGTTTTCCTAATGCAAGCACGCACCTGTCCTCGGGGAGGAAATATGCTCATGGGAATTGATTGAGAATGACTACACAATTAGTGCTATTATCTACTATTATCCATGGTTAGGTTTCATTACATTTCATCATATCATTAACACAGTATATTGTTGATGATAATGTGAAATTGACTTGATAAGGGTCCAGGACGGATCAAAACATCGTCGTCTCTTCAATTTCTAGTGTGCGGTTTGGTCAACATTTTTCACCCATGTTATTGTGACTATCTGCATAATGTGAAATATGAAATCTGAAAACTATTTCAGTGTACCTGAGAATTTCATTTACAGAAAACCAAATTCATCAAAGTAAACATTTTCAGCATATACTGTAATGATTATATTTTAAACCAATGATTTATAATACAATAAAGTTACAACTTGAGAATAATCTGTTTAGGACAAAGGTTCAGTTGCCAGTTTACATGTAAACAATTACTATAAAAAATAATATACTTTCAGACCACCACAAATATCTAGATAACTATCCAAGTGGTTTGAAGGGGGAGGAGGTGAGGGGTTCTAAAGGGTAATATTTTTTGGTCTGAGGATGGGCTCAAGCATAAGATTGTAACTTACAACACCTCACCCTTTATGGATGTGGAGTATATAATAAGCAAATTGAAATTTTATGTAACACTCGCTACAAACTACTTAGACTAAGAATGTTGTAGATTACTTCTTGTGGATTAAGTCACCGTGTTTGGGCCTCTTGGGGTCACAGAATGTTAGTTTGACAAGCTGTGAATATGATGATGTACATTTTAATATATGTAACTCCTAAGTGCTGCAACTTTCTAAACAAAACCAATTTTGAAGTTCAGTTAATGAGCCCATTGGGTGCCTTAACGTTTTCCACTACCAGTAACTATATGGGGGTGCAATAATAAATGAACTATAAGTTTGGCAAGTTAAGACTTCAGACAAGAATGCTCAGATGAATCTGAAGGAGACCAGTACAAACAAACTAACAGATACATTTTCAATCATAATGAAATATCTTGGTTAACAAATCAGCAGACTGAGATATCACAACTAATTCGACTTTTAGCACCAATATCTTTGGTAGTTCAGCTTATATGGGAGATTTAGATGCAATTAAATGTAAATGTGTGAACAAAGACAGGGGACACATACAAGAGCATTCCACGAGTAAGAATTGATTTAGTGAGATCTAAACTTGAATGGCATGAAATAGCAAGTCATTTTATTGCTAAAGATTAAACATCTGAAGTTTTTACACCATATACCTTGCTTCTAGTAGATCAAATTAAACACTTTCATAAAGTATAAGCCGTGTAGCCTAAAATTATAAATAGCGATACTTCTATTATCCTATACTATCCAAATGTTAAAGTAACGAGTGTTCCAATATGAAATATTTTGTTAAACATTGTTAAATAATAAAGAAGTGTTCTATTACCACTCATAATTAATTACATGGTGCACAGGTAAATTGTAAAAATCTATGTCAAACATCAGTTGGAGTTGAAGGCATTTGATGTCCTCCATAATAACTCACGCTGCCTATCGCAGGATGAGTAGTGTCAGTGTCAATAGTAAAAAGCGGATACTGGGGAAAAAAAGGTTAGCCTATTGTGTATATGTCCTGCTTTGCGGTTTGTCCTTTCCTTCCCCAAAAGCCGTGCCGTTCTACACATTTGAACATGTAAATTAAAAAAACAAAATGCGTGCATAAAGATCTATGGTTAACTCTTGATACGCTTAGAAAATGTAAAAAGTGGCCCATATGACAAACAAGTTTGTTTACATTAAAATTACTTTTTAAATCAAAATAATTAAATAATTGAAGGGCGAGTGCTGCACTTACCGTTTTGACAATGTCTTTGTAGAAGGCGTGACCACTGTTGTACCTGGGCGCCGGCTTGCTTATCTCAAATTGACCCTGCCACATGTCAAATTCTAAATCTAAGTTGTTCTCCAAATGACACTCCGGCACGGGTGTGTTATTGTTCTCTGTATCCTCATCCGAGAACTCATCGCTACTGTTGCTCATTAGAGAGTCCCTCATGGGATCTTTGTCCGGCCCCTCATCAGTACTCATTATGGAGACCTAGCTGCTCTAGGCTATGAGGCACACTCGCTATTCACTCATATTTCACCACATTTTTCATCACCTTCAGTAGTTGAATGAAGCATCTATAGATTCCATCATTGCAATTTGTACATAAAATAGTAAACAAGTACAAGATAACTGTGCCATTTAAACTAAATTGATTATCAGTATTGACCTTAATTAACAGTCTATGCCCTCACTAATTCTGTATTGTACATCTCTCGGCATATCCACCGTGATCCAACAAATCTTCAAGACACTTTTATAAATCTGGGGCATTATTAAACATCATCACCGTAACAAGGTAGCCGAAGAAAGGGGAATAGGAAAGCGAGTCAGTGAATCTGTACGATGAAGTTGCAGTCGACAACCTCATTCATAATGGACTAAAAGGATTCCCTTAAGACGGAAAAGAATCTGTAATTTCAGGAATTCGTCTTGGCTAAAAGAACATAAGAGCAAAGTAACTGCAGAAGGCCTATTGGCCCATACGAGGCAGCTGGTATTTATAACCACTCAATCCCATTCATATACATGTCCAACTCGCGTTTAAAACAATCAATCCCCATCTCCACCACGTTACGCGGTAAATGGTTCCACAAATCACCAGCCCTGTTACCGAACCAGTATTTACCCAAGTCTTTCCTAAATCTAAACTTTTCCAATTTATACCAATTGTTTCGTTTTCTGTCTTGTGTTGATACTTTTAATACCCTATTAATATCCCCCTTGTTACATAAGAACATAAGAACAAAGGCAACTGCAGAAGGCCTATTGGCCCATACGAGGCAGCTCCTATTTATAACCACCCAATCCCACTCATATACATGTCCAACCCATGCTTGAAACAATCGAGGGACCCCACCTCCACAATGTTGCGCGGCAGTTGGTTCCACAAATCAACAACCCTGTTACTGAACCAGTACTTACCCAAATCTTTCCTAAATCTAAACTTATCCAATTTATACCCATTGTTTCGTGTTCTGTCCTAAGAACATGAGAAGAACATAAGAACAAAGGTAACTGCAGAAGGCCTATTGGCCCATACGAGGCAGCTCCTATTCTATAACCACCCAATCCCACTCATATACTTGTCCAACCCGTGCTTGAAACAATCGAGGGACCCCACCTCCACAATGTTACGCGGCAATTGGTTCCACAAATCAACAACCCTGTTACTGAACCAGTATTTACCCAAGTCTTTCCTAAATCTAAACTTATCCAATTTATATCCATTGTTTCGTGTTCTGTCCTGTGTTGATACTTTTAATACCCTATTAATATCCCCCCGGTTATGTCCATTCATCCACTTGTAAACCTCTATCATGTCACCCCTAACTCTTCGCCTTTCCAGTGAATGCAACTTAAGCTTTGTTAATCTTTCTTCATATGAAAGATTTCTAATTTGGGGAATTAACTTAGTCATTCTACGCTGGACACGTTCAAGTGAATTTATATCCATTCTATAATATGGCGTACGTGTGTCCATTATGTTATGTCCATTCATCCACTTGTGAACCTTTATCATGTCACCCCTAACTCTTCGCCTTTCCAGTGAATGCAATTTAAGCTTTGTTAATCTTTCTTCATATGAAAGATTTCAAATTTGGGGAATTAACTTTGTCATCCTATGCTGGATACGTTCAAGTGAATTTATATCCATTCTATAGTACGGCGACCAAAACTGAACCGCATAATCTAAATGGGGGCCTAACCAGAGCAAGATATAGCTCAAGAACCACACCAG